GTTGTTGCAGCCATTGTTGGCGGTGGCCAGTTGGCTGCTGACGCCACTTTAGCCGGCGACTTGTCCAATTACTGCGACAACGGAGGGGATGTCCTCGGGTTCCGGGGTTCAGAGCGGTCGGGGGAAGTGTGGCATTCAAATGGCATGCCGCAGGACACTCACACATGCAGGTTGTCCTGCGAGCGGAAGAGCCAACTGAAAGTTTTTTCATATCCTGTGAAAATTATTATGCGCTTTTGTGAAATAGTCGAAGCCAGCGGGCAAGAGCAAATGTTTGTACTGCTGCTGCTGCTGCTCCTGCTGCTGCATTTTTGACCAGGAGACAAGGACCACACACCCATGCAGGATTCGACAGTTGGTATCCTTGACTCCGACTGGACAAAACTTTTGTCAAATTAGTTTTTTCCGCTTTCTGTCTGTCCTCCCGGACTGCCATTTTTCTGCGGCTGCAACAGCTTGTGGACACCGATGTCAGCGTTAGTTTTAATCATTATCCGTCTCCCCGTTTGCTTTACCAAATGAAATGCGAGGGGCAAAAAAGTAAAAAATATGTCTGCTCATTGCGTGGCAAGTAATTAAAATGCTGTTTATGAAGCCAACATTCCGTGCTATGTTTATAAATTAGTCGATAATATTATAAGTGTTTTTTGTTTACTTAACACAATTATTTTGAACAATATTCATAGGCTACAAAGCGCATTATGCTTGAATTAGCTGGCTTAAAGCCGCTTAAGCTAATCTGGTTATAAATTATGCTTTTGTTTAAGTAAATAAGTATCTAATAAATATAATTAAATTCTTAATGTAGCCTCTCTAAATAACTCTTTTTCTTTCTCATTTCAGGTAAGTTCAGCCCCCCGTTACCCTGACATCTGTAAGTAAATGAAAGTCCTTAAAGCCTCCAAACAGGACGGCTTGATGCTTGAATGGCAGACCAAAGGGAAAACCTTTTCCTTGTTGAACCGGCGAACTTTATCATTTTTCAAAATGCATTTAATTTCATTCCATTTTGTCGCATTTCACTTTTGGGCGCCGTGTCTCTTTCTCTCTTTGACAAATCAGACGGAGGCAAAGTTATAAAACTTCATTTGTAAAAGTGCTACGTCATGCCGGGAACGGGTCTGTCTGGCGGGGGAAATGCGAAAATAGGGGCGCCGGAAATGGAGACGGAGGTGAGGGCGTGGCCGGGTCGTGTGAAGAGTGAAGGGCACGAGTTAGACAAGTCATCAAATAAATCCCTTTTAGGTATAAAGTTCTTTGCTTTGCACTGCCCCCTGCCAGGGCCCATCTTCCAGTTTTGTCCGCTTTTCTGGCTTTTCCTCCTCCTTGTGTTTGTGTCTTTCTCTCGCAAATTTTTTTTTATGCTTGAACTGTTTGAGCGGAGAATTTAGCAAGTTTTTTGCTTTGTTTGAGAAACGCCAAGGACACCGACGAGGACAGTGGAAAATGCAGAAAAGAAAGAGGTCGCCTTTCCGACTTCTCCATTGATTAGTTGGCTGTGCAGTGGAAATTGTTGGATAATCATATCATGTCATCCCTCTTTGCCCATTTGAGCTTGTCATCAATCAGGGCATTACGGCCAATTGGCCAAACATTGTGAATTTGAATTTGTCATAGTTAAAAACCGTTTACAGCGATGACACTTAATTGCCCCGCTGTTGGGGCATTCACGTTCCATTCTACATGCTTACGGGGCTATCTCAGTCTCGGGTTTCCTGTCAATTTCCATTTGAGCGGATATTTGTCGAACAAACTCGATTGATTTCCCCAGCTCGAGGTTGTCTGCTCTCCGCTCGCCTCGCTTCCCCTTCACGGCTCATAAGCCACAAAATGCATTTCTAGCAATTTCCTTGTTTGGCCCATTTTTACGGGGCATGTTGCATACTTTACGGCGCCACTGTATGCGTCCTTGTGAGCGCTGAACTTCCTTTAGACCCTCCTCCCCCATCCCGCAACCTCATCTGCTTAGTTTCTCATCCAGACTCAGCCTTGACTCGGGTTTTTCCGGAAATCATTGCAGCCAGGAGCGGAAATATCCCTCCCCCGACATAGAGCTATAGCTCTCTTTCCTCCCTCCTCGCCAGCTGTCTTCGGCACTTCAGCCGGCGCTTAAGTTGCACAAAATGTAATACATTTGATTGCACTCATGTTCAAGTTCTGTGGCCAAAGTGGCTGCTACTGCAAGGGAGCAGAGAAAAAGGAAACCGAAGCCATGCCCCTCCAGGACGTCGGGCTCGTAAGTGAATACGGACGAATGTCTGGGCTCCGGCTGGGTGTGTGAGCCTGAAAATGCTACAAATTGATAGATCCGCTGCTGCATTGGCAAGAACAGCGAGCAAGGGCGAGGAGCAGCCAATTGCGAACTATCTGTTTATTAGGCCAAACATGCAGGAGGAGGGCAGGAGGCAGCAGGCACGAGTAACTGCATTATGTGCATATGAGATGGAGGAGGTCAAAGGGCGTCTGGCCAAGGAAAACATCTAATGTGAAAGCATCAGTTTAAGGGAATACACCAACGTTAAAGCATATTATTGAACTCAAGAAGTAATTTTAACATTCAGTTATTTACTGACAACTTTCCATGAAACTTCCATCTCCATTAGCGCTCCATTAAATGCGCATTCCTCTACGAGTGGCCTTTTACATCATTCACAATTAAATCAGATTAGCGAGCCAGCGGGTCCATCAGCTTCAATCAAAACTGACATGCCGAGTGGCCGCGTGGGCCAGCACTTGGACAATGCGGGAGGACCGGCCTAAATGGCTGAAATGCCTGCCTGTCGCCTTTTAGCCCTCCCTGCTACTGGTAGCAGGACCCCGGCTAATAGCCTTTAACTGATGGCGGGCAGCTCCATCATTAGGCTGGAAAAACCGGGAGTTGGAGCATTGGATGTTGGGAAAACTTCTGTCGCAGCCAAACATCCACATTCACATTCATATCGGTTCAGGTTGAAGCATCGACATGCTAATAGCTTTGAACTTTTCGCAAATTGCAGGCACGGCACGGCACAGCACGAATGTGAACTGCAACTGCAACTGCAATTGCGTTTGCCTTTGCGTTGGACTGTTAATTACCGTTATTGAACTTGTTTGATTGGCACAAGTTGAAAAGTTGGGCGATCCAAGGCAATCGCTGACCGCCGAACACCACCCAGCTTAACCCCTTTGGACTCGTCCTTTTAAATCGAATTCCCAGCGAATGAATGTTTGCAAGGGAGCAACAGATTTTCCCCACCATGTGCATGCAGGCTTCGTATGCCACTTGGCAAAGCTTATGGGATTTCTTCTATGCTATTCATGGAATTTAATCATAAATAAAATCATTTAAATAACTCACAAGTTCATTCGAAATCATAAAAGAGCATTCAAAAGCACTGGAACCAGGAGCAACTGCTCTTTGGAACACTCTTCCGGCACTAGGACAACAAATGCATTCAAAGGCGCTTTTCAACGCTGGCTGGCAATTGGCAGACGATGGCCAATACAAAGGCTAGCCCGGCCAAAACAAGATGGCGGACCTAGTCCTTGCTGTGTCGCTGTCATCGCCATTGCCGACATGTGTGACTGTGCGACTCCCCTACGATTGCGTCCCGTTGTTTTCGTTGATTTTCCCACTTGGCTTCGCTGCCGTATTGTTAACGCGCAGCTCCTCCTCGGATGCTAAAGCTAAAGTTGACTTTTTACTGATTTGAACTGCAAACTTTCGCCATAGTTTAGTGCTCCTTTTCACAGCAACCGAGGGATTTATGGTGGCTCAAAGTGCTCCTCGCTTCTCAGCTCAGCTTTCGCTTGGGTGTGAAGTAAAAAACTTTGTACAACGATATTATATATATATAAATATATATGTAGACACGTGGCGCATGTGTAGGTGTCCGGGCACTTGGGCATAAACTTGTTCAAGTCAGTGTGTAATCAGTTTTAAGCCAAGTGTAATGCCAGCAGATGATATCGATTCAATTTTCAAGTCTTGCCAGTGCACAGATCGGAAAACTGAGCTGGAGAGGTCAATTCATTAATATTAGTTGGCTTTTCCGGTAAGCTTGTTTACCAAAACATCGAGAAATGTGATGAGCACGAGGGCGAGTGCACTTTAATCCCAGAAAATAAAGTCGGAGAGTGGCGGCGGATTTATATCAAGCTGGGATGCAAAATGTAAAGCATTCGGCTGCCAACTGGGGCTAAATTATGTCCGATTCGTTGGCGTTGGTAAATTGCGAAAAGGACTCGCTGCTGGCTTTGTCGATGGCAATTGCAATTGAATCCAGTTCTGTGGCGACAGATTTTGCGTGGTCCCCGGTCTCCAGTCTCCCGTTCGGGAAATGTAAATTTCGTAAATTTATGGCCAACCGTTTTGTGAATTTATTGTTCTTGCATTAGTTCAACTCCCACTTTGCGAACGATAAATAAAGGGAGGTTCGCTGACACAACTTAAAGGATATCCTTAATTGCGGCGCTCCAATCTCGTCCCACCGCCACTGATGTAATCCAAACTGTTATCGCTTGAGTCAACCTTGTGTCAAGCTTATGTGGAAAACTCACTTTCCCCTTCGACTGCCAGGATGTGTGTAAATTTTATATCATTCGCTCTGCTGCTAGCCGGAATTCAATTTCTATCTACACTTTTTTTCTGCTTTTACTTTGCTTCAATTTATAAAATTGAATATTGGCAACGAAACTCGATTTGACACGCCCACAATGGGTGGACTGGCTGGTGACTGGCGGAGGGCGACCTACCGTTGTCTTCAGCGAGTTGCGTAAGTTGGCAAATTATCCCAAGGAGAGATTGGCATTCGAGGCTACTTACCCAGTGAATGGCTGACAGTGGGCTGAAAGGACGACTAAAAAATAGGGATTAAGATTATAGTTACGATATTTTAGTTCTATATTGTATAGGAATTAGTTTACTTTTTAGCTTTTATTTAGCTTAAGGAATGGAATGCTGTAAGCAGGAGCTTATAATGTTATAAGATGCATTAGGCGCTAACAATTGAATAATTTATCTTCTGTTGAAAAATAGACGTTTGCAGACAGACAGATCTAGAATGCTTGAGAAAGCAATTGGGTCCGGAGCGCTCTCTTTGGCTCTTAACAAAATTTTAGAGGCTACAATACAAATTTGAGCATGAAAAATCAAATGGCGCTACGTATCTTACAACATTATAGTCTTTGAAGAGTTTACAGCTTTTTCTTAGCATTATTAGAGACTTTCGATTCATTTTCACGACTTCCCTCCTTTTCGGTCCACTGTTAAAGCGCTTAGTGCATTTCCTTTTGACAGCCTTTATCGCCTGCCAATTGCTTCATATCCTGCCTCTTAAGCCCACACCCACACATGCTCACTGACTCGGAGCCTTGGCACGCATTTTATTTAAATACGAGTATGTGTGTATATATAAAAATTGCCATTTTCCCAGTGATTTTTATTGCGCTCACCGCTCTCCTTAGCGAGTCCCCAACAGCAGCTGCCTTTATTGCCACCCCATTTTCAGTTGCCTCATCACTCTGAACATCGTTGACAGTTTTACGTTTTGTGGGACGCACAGTGACTTACATAAGTACACCCACAGACACACACACACACAACTGCTCCTTTGTGTGTCATTTAGCTTTTGTCTCACGCGTGCCAAGTCGCCTCCTTTTCCCCCATTTTCCGACTTGTTTGTGCTCTTAATTTTCTTGCCAAGTTTGCAGTTTTCGCAGCGTTTTTATATGATTTTTATACATACGTGATATATTTTTCTGATGCGCCCGTTCACTTTTTATTATCGAAGGACCGCCCCATGTGTGCCGTGCTGCGCCGAGCCGTGTGTCTTTGTCCTTCGTCCTTTGTTCTGGCTTATTCAATTTCATTTATTGATTTTCCCGCTTATCTCTATCTCTATGTGCGGAAAAGGCCCTACTTCTGCTTCATAAACGCAAACTGCTTGGCCCGCACGGCGATGTGGTGGTCCAGCTTCTTCCAGAACTCCTTCAGGATGCCGCAGTCCAAGTGCCGTTCGTGCTGCGGCAGGGCAAGCATGTGCACCGGCAGGTTGCTCAGCTCCTTGCTCGGCGCCGTGTCCTTGAAGTGCAAGTGGAAGGCGCACACCTCATGGAAAATCGGAGCCGGATCGCCGCTGTGCGGCCAGCCCTTGAACTGCCACTGGGGTCCCAAGGCGAAGACGGCAGCCACCCGCTGCCACTCCTCAGCCTTCAGTCGCTTCACGTTGTCGATCACCCTGTAGCGCACGAGTTGGCCCTAAAAAAGGCATGGCTTTTAATATTAAATGTATAAGGATCCGTAACGGTTACCTGGACATGGCGTTCCAAGACGACCTCTTCGGCGGACTGAAAACCCAACTTGCGGACCTGGTCCACCGACACGAAGCGCATCTCCTGCAGCAGCTGCTTGACATTGTGCAGGGTGATTAGGCTGGTCAGGGCCGCCGGCACCACGATGATGGGTCGATGATCATTCGTCGAGCGGCGTCTGGCCTTCTCGCCAGTGCTGTGCCGGTGGCTGGATGAAGGCACATTTGCGGTAGCCTCCTGGCTGGTCCCTTTGGCGATCTCTTTGTCGGTCCCCTTGGCGATCGCCTTGCTTGTCTCCTTGCCGATCTTGCTAGACACCTTCCCTAGTTCCTTAGCGAATTTCTTCTTCGTTAGATTAGTACCCAGCGGATTGATGCCAAAGGCTTCCTTTCCCTTGAGGAACTTCTCCTGGTCATAGCGATTATATCTCGACGAGAAATCATTGGCCGGTGGATTTCGTTGTGGTGGCACCACTGGGACCTCTGGTAATTCTTCCGGATCCGAGGCTTCGGCAGGTCCGGCATAATTCTTGGACAGGAGGCGACGCGTATGGACGTCGTAGACGAGCGCCAGCGTACGGAGTACGCCCGGCAGCTCCTTCTCGCCCAGAAGCTTGTCCTCGAAGGGGCGGTGCTGCCGCTCGCGCTCCATTGCTCGCTTGCACACATTCACCTGGTGCTCGTCCACCTGGCGTTGCTTCTCCCGCTGCAGCCGCTTGGCGTTTGCGGCGGCATCCTTGTCGTGGCGTTTCATGGCCAGGCGCTTGGCCTTGATCGCGGCAATGGCCTCGACGGACATGGTCTGAGCAAGAGATTCCATTTTCGAGAATTTATATTCCTTAGAAAGATTGTTGCAAAATGAAACTGATTCGGACCGGAATTGGCTTCCAAATGACTTTTTTCTTGGTGCCAAAAGTCAGTCTAGAATGTAAATTTATCGATTTCTGATGGTTTATAGCATATTTACACCGAACTGAGCTACCTATCGAAATTAAAATTATCGCTATAACGCACTGGTGTGAATGGGGCTTTAGTTTGAATTGACTTTCGGTATATTATTTCCAATTAAAATTGTTTATTTTCCATTCCAATTCCTTTCAAATAAACAATTGAGCCCTTTTTTTGACTCGCTCACTGCTTTAATGAAATCACTCTGTTATCGATGACTGCGGCATAATTAATCGGGAAACGCAGAGGAGTTCCCACTTTCACTCCATAACTCTCTCTTTCTCCTCTTTCCGTTTCCCTACCGAATGCCGGACTTTTTCTTGGCTCACCTCCTTTGTTGGCACATAAAAAACTCATAAATATTCAAACTTTTTCGCAGCCATCGTTTATTTTTTGTCAAAGCCATTATTTATTTTTATTACATTGCCTTGGTCAGTTGTTGGCCTCGCCCTCCTTCCCTCAGCATCCCCCCCTCGCTGATGATTTTTATTTTTCCGCCTCGAGTTGTTTTTATTTGTAAGCTATTTTTATTTGACAAAGTTTCGCCCTCACCCCGGGAGAGAGCCTGGCAGAAGGAATTGTCCCGGCTTTATGTTATTGACTTTAATAACATTTTAGCTGCAAGGCATGAAAATATTTTTATAAATTGTGTTTTTGTTTTCTCCGGCTCTCCTTGCATTTTTCTCCGTTATTATGCTGCTGCCACACGCTTTGTTTTGTTGGCCCAAAGCCTGGAATTGATTTCTGCGCGAGGGTGCACTCGCTCCCATCATAATTTATGCATCCATTGAGTCAGTCACCCAGCCAGCCAGCCAGCCAGTCAGCCAGTCATCCAGCCAGCCTCAAAAGCTATTAGCCGGCTTAGCCCGGCTACCCTCGATTCCCCAGTTATCGCGGCCATGGCCCGGGGATGCCCGTAATTGCTAAAGCGAAATTTCATTACCGAAAACGAAAACGGGCGGGTAAAAGCGGGGAAAAGCGAGTTGGCAGACGGGTTTTCGCGTGTGATAAATACCGTAAAAGGTCGCCGCCGCCGCCATCGCAGCCTGGGAAATGAAATTTTCATCCAGACTCTTGTGGCAGCCATTTTGTCGTCGCATGCACTAGAAAATGGCAGAGCGGCGTCTGTGGCGCGGCATCGTTGACGCCATTTTTGTTTATGGCCGCATTTGTCACGGCAAATTGTATTGCCAACTGGCGGAGCTCTAGCCAGGCCCGGCACTTATTTTTTTGATTCACTTTTTGTCTTGCCACGTTAAGAGTGAGGCATAAAAATCGCGATGAACCGGAGTTTCACCTTACGTCTACGGCATTTTGGCATGTTAATTAAGCGGGCGGGCTGGCAAGTGTCATCTGATTGCTCATTTGGCTCTGCCATAATTAAGTTTATGGCATGATGGCCAGCAGGATGAATGTGATGGTGACCAGAGAGCAATTTTTCCTTAAAATAGGGCTTTAAGGCTTAACCAATTTAAGAACCATGAACACGAAAGCCGGCTTCAGGAAACTAGAAAACCGTGGCAGAACAATGGCTAACATCGAAATTGAAAACAATGGCTTACTGACATAGATATGGAATGCCTTTTTGCCGCATTTAGATTCCCATTCTCGATTCCTTTTGGCCAGTCAGAGCCAGCGAAGCGAGCACCACGGCCGAGTGCATAACTCCAAATTTAATCAGAGAAGAATGCGGCCACGCATAGCCGTTCTGGCCGCGGGGAAATGGAATCATCTCTGCACTCAGCTGCATGGAATCGCATCAGGAAGCCGGGAAACGGAAGATGGCAAAGGGGAGGCGCCCTCGGCCATCATACCACGCAGCTGGGAACTAATTTCGCCTCAGTGACAAGACAAGGCCATCAAAAATCCCCCAAACGGACCTTGGCCAATTATTGCTTGTGGTTCGCTCTCGTTTTATTACGTAGCCGCAGCATTGGCCCATTTACGGCTCACGACGACCCTCCACGGAGGAGCCGGGTCGGATCATTTAATGGGCGGCAGGCCGGAGCAGAAAGGAGAAAAACAATTTTGTCAGCTTATAAACAGTAAAAATAAAATGCCGGGCTAAACAAATACGAGGCGAGCGAAGGACCAACGACATCACAATAAAGCGCCATTGAGACACGAATACATGCAGGGCACACACCCAGACACCCAGACATGCATACAGGACACTGGGAAAATTCGGGAGTTAAAAGTGAAAGAAATTAAGAAGCAAATGTAGTCATTGAAAACACTGAATTCTGTAGCAACACACACTGTCCTTTAATTAAGATTTTATTTATTGCTGGGATTTTTGATTTCCTCCATTATTTTTCTCCCTCTGCACGTGTGTACTTTGCGGCCTTCAAGGCTGCCACTTTATTACTTTTCTTGGCAAATTATTTTCATTATGTTTTCGCTTTCGGAGCAGATTCATGGTGCAAGGAAGAGGGCGGCATAATGGAAACGAGATTGGCTTCGGCTGGAGGGGCCATGAAGGCAATGAAGCCATGGAATGGAAATTCGCTTGTTAACCGAGCAAATAAGGCCCGAAGGGGCGCCAGGTCAAGCTCTCCGATCAATTTCAACGACCCACTTTCTGGCTTTTGTCACCTCGACAGAGGAGACCGAGTTCCGATCGAGTTGCACGCTTCAAGTTGATGGAATCTCGGTGAGATTGGAGGCATCTTCGAGTGCCACAGCCAGGCTGCCCCGGATGTACTCCTCTCTCCAATATTCTGTGTGCATGATTGCCATGACGACTGATGAGCTTGTGTAGAGTGCTCAAGCACACACACACTCCCAGCTTGGGAGTCCGCTAACCTTTTCAGCAGAGCTCTCTGGGAAAAAGTCTCGACAACTGCAGTCGCAATAGCAGTTGCAATCTGTATCTAGCTGGTCCTCTTCGCGTTCCCGGCGTGTCCACTTGGCTGTCTCTCCATCATGTTTGCACACTTTGATGTCTGTTTGATGTGCAACAGTTGCACTTGAAGTGGCCAGTTGCTGCCTGTCATCTCGGCGGTGGCACTGCCTGTGAGCTGTGGGGGGAGCATCCTTTGCGAAATATCAAGCATTCGCCATGTGGTCCTACTCCTGGCACTTCCGCCGCCGCCGCAGCCGGGGGCCACTTGGCCAGAAAGAAACTTTTTATTCAATTTGATTTCCTTCAACTGCAAGCAGCTGTTGCAACTTTCTCGCAAAATTGAATCCGAGAGAGGACGTCAGCACATGAAATTAAGCGGAAGCTCGACAGTTTGTTTATAATGGGTTATGGGGAATATTGATATCGAACGGTTAAAGCGCTGAAATGTCGCTGCTTAAATCAACCGACGCTGTCGCTCCAAGTGGGCCACACATGCTCTACCCATATTTCCCTCTGACGGAGCGCACACGACTTTTCCATTAAGCCAGTGGAAAAAGTGGGAAAGCTGGGAGAGAGAACTTATGCAGGGCAATCAGCGAAGCAACCTTGACGAGCAGGTGCAATTGCAGCAGGAATTTTGCATGACATTTGCGAGCTGCCAGGAAGTGCACTTCAAACGGAAATTGCGACACACATATTGCCAGCTTCCTTTGACTCATTTCTCTGGCGAGGCTTTAGCTTTCTTTGCTCAGCGTATGCTAATACCTGACTCTTACACTTGGGAGATACAGGGTGACAGTTACTGTTTAAGGTGGCTTAAATATGGAAAACCTTGAAGAGTAAAATAAAATTATTCAATAAATCTTTATAAAGACTAAATTTGGGAGTTGCACCTACTTGGCTCACACAATGTTTATGTATTTTATTTCCAAACACCCTGTGCCTGTCTCTTCTTCCGGCCTTGCTAAGAGTTTTCTGAATTACCGTAATTTATTACAGCCAAGTGGGTGGCCTATTCTCTTCGTCAAATGCATTTCCATTGCGAAAGTGTGTCAGAAGCTTCAACGCTTTTGGCATTCGCTTCCCGGGCTTACGCAGCTCACCTGCCAACTGTTGCCCTCACCGACTCGCCTGTTTAGCTGCTCACCTTTGCACCTGCCGCTGCACCTGTCTACGTCCCTGACTGTCTCTGCCGCCGCTCTTGCCGAGAGCTCATCACATTTGCCACTTAGTCAGCTCGTCAGCTTTTGTTTCAGCATTTGCCGCCGCTGCATAGTTTTGTGTGCAGTTTTGTGCGAAATATATTTCGGGGGGTGGCTCAGTGGGCAGGGTGTGCAGCAACTGTAAACTTTGAGCTGTAAACTGTAAAATGCTACTAATTGTTTTGACGCCAATTACGTGCACAAGTGTGTGTGGCGAAGAGACGTGTATGCGTAGCCGTTTGACGTATGCGTACTGTTTATTAAAATTTATTTTGTCGAGCACCTGCTTTCCAGAGCTCAGCCTCACCTTGCCCTGCCCTGCCCTGCCGTGGCATTTTGTGCATTTTCGCATAACATTTAGCACAATTTTCCACATTTTGCGGCTTTGCCTGGCACGAGGAATGTAGCAAGTGGGAAATTATTGCTTTTGTTTTCAAATGCAACGAAAGTGAATGAATTCACTCGTTATAAAATCACTTAAATTGAATGTAAAACTTGTTAATAAAATGTCATTCCTTGGCTAGCAATTATTGTTCTTGTAAATCAATCAATAGACAATAGACAATAATGTTGCTATAAAAGTCAGAAAAAAATATACATTTTTGGGAAAATACCTTTAATTTGAAAGTATATAGAAATAGTACATTTGTCAAGGCAAAAAAACACACTTAATATGGCCGTAAAACCTGCCGTAGGCTGACCTGTTTCCTCGGGGCACAGACACACATACACTCGCACCCAAAGCAAATGCAATGCACTGAGCCGTTAAGAAGGCGTTTCCAGCCTCTCATGGCATAACGCGCATACGCACCGTGGTGCGGCGGGTGTCCAAGTGAAGGCAAACAAACATAAAAGCAAACAATAAAAGGAAAAAAAAAGCACACACTTTTTTGTTGTATTTTTGTGTGAAAATAAATGATTATTTAATATTTATTTTCATGTTGCTTGAGCAAGGTGAACGGACGGCGGGTGGCTGCATCATTTTTCATGCCTCTCGAAGTGAGTCTAAGTGCCTCGCTGGGACTGGCCATTAATGCCAGTTGATTGGTCAGCGGAGGACTGACCGAGGGGCCCAAGGAAGCGGCAGACAGTCCACTCGCACACATGTATTTATTATTTAGC